CTTTTTAAGGTTGCTTGTATAAGCCTTTATAGCTAGTTTTTCCACAGCAACTTCGAAACCAAAAAAACTAACCACATCTAAACTTGCATCTTGTTCAAACAAAGTCCAATTTGGATTATTTGGATGGACCTAAATAATCCAATGAAATATCGCCGTCAGTATAACCAATTAAATGATATAAATGATATATCAAAATTATTTTCTACCCAGTAAGCACAAGATGTGTTTAACACGTCTTGTGCTTAAAAAATGTTTGTGCACAAAAAATGTTCTTATACATTTTAATACATTTTTTAGACACATTAAACATGCCTTGTGCTTACTAGGTATTACTTACAGAATAATAACAGTGCTCCTTAATAATTAGTCTACTGGAAAAACTTTCGTTCCATGCTTCAATTTTTAGTGTCCGATTTAGTCTATTCAAGCTGTTACGTTGAATAAAAATTGCATGGTCAACTCCAGCCATCTAAAAAATATATTGAACTTTAAATTAGCATAAAACATTCAATAATTCTAAGGTTTCTTAATTAAAAAAAGAAAATATTTTATTAGTCCAAAACCCTCATTAAATTTTTTTTTAATTTTAAAGCTTTATTAAAAATCCTTTAAAAAAAATTTAAGGTCAACAATAAAAGCTTTCTGAAGTGCAGAAAAGTTTGAATTTTTTGTATCTTTAGTTAAGTTTAAAAATAGATAAAGTTGTTTTGTTAACAAAGATATATTTATAATTAATATATTAAGTAAGAGCTTGTGGACTTGCGTTTGATTTTCTCTCATGATAATATATGAGAAGAGTTTCCTGCAGTTATTCAGAAACAAACTAATTTACATTGTTCTCCATTTCAATCCACCACTAGAATTAAAATGGTTTTTAAGGTATGCATGAAAGCCATGCATGATTTCCTGATAAAGATATTGGTATCCGTTTTCAACAAGTATTAAACAGCCAACATCAACACAAATGAATTGGATGACAACAACAAAACATTAAATTTTCAAATAACCAACATTAACTTTTCAAATAACCAACAGTAAAACAGGTTGCTATAACTTCAACATATATCGATAAGATATGTATATATATATATATATATATATATATATATATATATATATATATATATATATATATATATATATATATATATATATGTATATATATATATATATATACATATCTTATCGATATATATATATATATATATATATATATATATATATATATATATATACATATACACATATATATATATACATCTATGCCAACCCTACCAACTATATTACTATCATGGATCCCAATATTATCACCAAAATTTTGAAAAGTCTTTCGGTAAGCAGTTGACAAGATTGTTTTTAAATCAACTGCAAAGAAGAACAATGTAAAACTGTTTTTGAAGAATAACAATGTAATTTTTTTCCATAATATTTGTCCTTCATATGTGTGTGTTTGTGTTCAATCAAAATTTTTTAATAAATGATAAGATTAAAAAAAAAAAGTATTAGTTTTGTCATAAACTAGTCATAAATCACTTGTTATTAACAAAGTAAAGTGATTTATACAAAGTGAAACACATTTAACACATTTAATTACCTTAATCACATTAAATAGACTCTAGATAAACTGTATCAACTATATTAAATATAAACAAAAATAATTTTAAAGAAATATTTTACATAGTTGATGACATACATTGCTTTCAAAAAAAATAGGTGCAGTAAAAAACTAAGTTCATTTTCTTTTTTTTAAAACATAAAAAACCTATCCAAATTTTCTAAAGACTATTTTTTTAAAACTTTTTTTTGAACAACAGGAAAATTATTTCTCTGAAACTAACATGTCAATAACAAGTTCATATTTAGTTACTTTTTCCAAGATGCAAGATTTGTTTAAAAAAGATTTTTCTCACAAATAAAAAAAAATCTATTCAATAATTTTTTTAGTTTTTTTTATGGTAGTTTAAATATGCTTTAAGCAACAAAATTTTACTGCACCTATTTTTTTTTTGAAAGCACTGTATGTTTATTAACAGTTTCATTTCCAAGCATTTTAGAATCTGTGTGATTATAAATTTGCTGCATTTTTCATTTTTATTATAATATGTCATTAATAATTAAATAAACTTATAAAAGTAACATAAATTTATAATAGATAAGAATTCAATTACTTTTCTGATAAGATATGGAGCATCTACATTTAATCTGCATCTACGTTCAACAATATGAATTGCACCATCATCACTTTTATAATCATAGGTAATATCACTTCCAAGAAATGCAGGTATCATTTTACATGTAGGAAAACGCTTTTCATATGCCTATGAAAAAAAGAAACAAATAGCCAACAAAATTCTACAACTTAAAAAACAATAAACAAAATATGAAACATAAAAATAATGTTAAAATTGTAAAAACATATGATAAAAGAATATAATTGTATTGTGTCAAAGGGCCCTTGAAGAAGATCTCAAATATGATACCTCCCCTCCCCTCTCCCAAAAAAAAATAAAAATAAAAACAAAGGTATTTCAAAAAATGGGTTTCAAAAAATAAAGTTTTAAATGTACTGTTTATGGTAAAAAAAGGCTCTTAACAACTCTTTGTCTTTATAAAAAAAAAAATTAAGTACACTTTATATAAAAACCATAAAATTTAATTTGGGAAAATTAAATAAATCGACTGATAAATAGATAGAACATGCGAGGAGTGCCGCTACATAAACTGAAGATTTGGTTTATGCAGACAATCTATCAATTAAATTTTTTTATCCAAGTTTTTAAACTTTTTTCAGTCTTCTAAATTAAATTTAAAAAAAAAAACAAAGTTTACATTTTATAAAGTATAAATCATCCCAGCATTTTTTTATAAATCTGTTTATATAACAATGATCAGACAGGATGGTACTTTTTAATTTACCGAATAACATCTCGTTACTTTATTTCTCCACTTCAAGCACTATATATATATATATATATATATATATATATATATATATATATATATATATAATATATATATATATATATACAGTGGCAGCTCATGTATAGGGGCCATAGGGCCCGGCCCCACCTATATTTATTTAAAATAAAGTATTTGTTAATCTAATTATGTATTTATATATATATATATATATATATATATATATATATATATATATATATATATATATATATATATATATATATATATATATATATATATATATATATATATATATATATATATATTCAAACAGGTTTTATAAAAATAAATAGTTCTAAATGGGTTCTAATTTTAAATTCTGTTAATTTACAATTTATTTAAAGTATAGTACCGTTATTTCATTGCCGCAATGAAAGTTGAAAAGCCGTTAACGGCTTGGCCGATTTTAACTGGCCCTATTTAATTTGTGTTCGGTATAATAACTTTTGATGCGCGCGCAGAACTTATTGTGCTTTCAGATGGGACGAAAAAACTCACCGCAGGGCCTTATTGAACTGGCCTGAGAAAAAAAGAAGCGCATCATACGTAAATATATCACTAATTTTAAAAATATACTGAATATGCTTAAATCTTTGTTTTTAACACCATTCTTTATTTGAAGATATACTTTTGTGTTCAACATAATTTTTTATATTTATGGCGTGCTTTTAACTCAAACAAAGTTTCTTCCATAAAATCAAAATTAAAAAAAAGTTAAACAGAAATAATACTAAAATCTGTTCAAATCATAATGCAGCACTATAAGTTTTCAGTAAGTTTTTGCTGGTTTTTACGTAGGTTTAAAAGTTTCAATGCCATTAAATAATTATGCTTTATTTAAGGAGTATGCTAGCACTTAACTCTCTCAACTAATCAAAAAACGCTACCGACCAAACACTTTTTAACAAAGACCAAAGCATCAATTACGAAGACAGCGAGTCATTGAGATATTTTTCAGTTAATTTTTCCTGGCCCCACCAAAGTTTATTGTCACCGGCCGCCACTGTATATATATATATATATATATATATATATATATATATATATATATATATATATATATATATATATATATATATATATATATATATAACTATGCGGTAGTGGTGTAGTGGTAGAGCGCTCGCTTCATAAATGAGTGGTTCAGAGTTCAATCCCCACCACGTCCCTGGTAGTACCGCGCTCAACTCGTTTCTCCGCACAGCGGCCTTGTTCGCCAAGGTTCGTGTTTCAGGTTATAGAGTTGAGAGAGGGTTATAGTCACAAAATAAGTAGCCTCCTCGTCTGTAGTGGCCTTCTCGGCCTTGAGGAGGTGAAGTAAAATAATATATATATATATATATATATATATATATATATATATATATATATATAAATATATATATATATTTATGCCTTGGAAGGAACCACACTCCCCTAAAACGGTTTATGGGAGAAATTTACAGCTCTCGCAAAATTATAATTTTTTCTCTCAAAAATATAATTATTAATGTAAATAAAATGAAAACCACAAAGTCATTTTTATAAAAAAAAAAAATAAAAACATAATAAACTGCAATGCTTTTTCAAAGTTATTGCAAAAAAAAAAAAATAATAATAATAAATAAAAGCAACGATTTAAATGTAAATGTTTTTGATTAGATTGGACTAACTGATAGATATAAAATTATTTGACTCCAAATTATATCGATAAAATAGAAAATTATTTAACTGATAAAATATATTATTAAAATTATTAATCTCTAAATTATTGCATAATAATTTTTATTTTTTGTATTGAATTATATATTTTATATATTAATTACTTTAATATATTATTCACTTTTATTGTAAAATTTTTAATTGTTGCGAAAATGCCTGCATTTTATTACAATAAGAAAATATAAAACATTTTTTATAAGCAGTAAAAACTTTTACAGCTCTTTGTCAAATTTTTTATCAAGCATGTCCTTAGTTAATGTGGATAGTTAATGTGAAAACTCCAAAACAACGCTCGTCTAAAGAATCTTTTTCACAGTGAATGACACTTGTTATATGTATATTCTTGTAACATTAACGTTTCATGTTTGTAACAAGTATAAAATAAGCAATAACTATATAATGAAACAAACAGCTAGGTTGTGAAAAAACCAAAAGCTCTTGTAAAAGGCTGTTTAGAAAAGCCGCTCGCATGGCTCACTATGTTCAAGTTAGGAGAGCTTTTTTCTGCCCTTGCACTGATTTTCTCCTGCCAGCTTACACTAGGTAAGTCTGTTCTGGATGCAGCATCCTGTAAAATCATTCCATGTCGCAATTGATGTTCAAAAACAGTTGAGCTTGCTGCAGAAATATCTTTAATAGCACGCTCAACTGCCTGAGAGTGACAGGGTATACTAAAAATGAAATCAAACTAATGGTGTTGAAGATTTTCATTTTCAATAGCTGTTAGCAATGATGGTGGTGTGAGATCAGCTACAGTCCAGTCAATCATATCAATATAAGTCAAAGCATTGGTGTTAAGCTTGATGCTTGACTTATCAAAAACAGGCACAGAAGAACTACACAAATTACTTCTCAAATTAATTATTTTGTCACAGATGATTCTGTGCAAAATGTTGCACAGAATCATCATTCTCACAAACACCAGAAAGAAGAATGTTTTCAGAGTGGGCAAAGAAGTTGTTGTTCTGCAACACAGGTTCTAATATTTTCCAATCTTCTGCTCCAAGCTCATGGGATTGCTTCATCAAGTAAAAAAAGTTATTTGCACCATCAGCACAAGAAGGAAAACTCATGATGTTGAATCATGAAGGAACATAAACATTTATGACAAAGTGTACAATTTTGTAGAGTGATGGGGAACATGCCTCTTTTGACATATACAAAATAAAATTTTGACATATATCAAAATTTTGCTTGCTTTTGTTAGCTACTTAGTGTCGCTTAAATTTCCTGGTATTTTGTTCAGTAAAGACATAATTTTGTCACTATCTGTATAACTTTGCTGCTCTGATAAGCCTGCTTTAAAAAGATATTTCTGATCTGTACTTAGATTATTCTTAACATTATCATTTACCTCAACAACTTTTCCTAGCATAGCTTTAAACTTTAAAATTGGTAAATCCTTGGGATCAAAGTCTAGTGTACTCATAACTGAACCATTGGAACTACTAGGAACTCTTGTACATCTCTTGTACAAGCCATTGCAGTGGTCTTGCAATGCCTTTCTCTAGACAAAATAAATGATGTGATTTTGCATCATTTATTTTGTCTGTATTGTTTACTGTGCTGTCGCAAGCAACTGTTTTTAGCGTACCTGGTGAATTTGTATTTACAATTATTGATAGTATCCCATTTGCAACATCAGACTAAGGGTTAATTAACAGGACTGAAAAAACTGCATAGCTCATTACTGAGGAGGCCGTGCTATATCTCTGAATGAGTCAAGTTCTCTTTAAACTTAAAATATGCCAAAAGTAACCCAAAATATTAAACATAAAAAACCATCACCACCACCTACCTATTTTAAAAAATATTTTCCTAATATTCGTGGCCTGCAAGCAACCTTCCATTCAGTTCAATCTTAACTCTTGCAAAATTCACTAGACTTGCTTGCTCTTAGTGAGACTAATTTAAATTCTGCTATTCCTTCTTCTGAATCTTATTGTTGAAGGATGCTATCCTTTGATTTGCAAAGACTCCAATAGCCACATGCTTGGCTTGGGGGTGTACATTTCTTTTTTTTTTCTTCTTAATTCACCTCTTCAAAGCTGAGAAGGCTACTACAGACAAGGAGGCTACTTATTTGTGGTTATAACCCTCTCTCAACTCTATAACCCTGAAACACGAACCTTGACAAACAAGGCCGCTGCACAAAAAATGAGTTGAATGTGGTACTACCAGGGACGTGGTAGTACTCGGAACCTCTTGCTTATGAAGTGAGCGCTCTACCACTACACCATTACCGCATACGCATCAATTCACATATTTGTCAAGAAATCAGGTTCGAATCCTTTGATCATTTTTTTATGTGCTTCCGCTTAGTCCCTCTTCACTCTATTACCTTTCTCTATGTTCCTTATTGTTCTCCTTCTTCCCCAGACTGCACTCTTTTAGATGTAATTTCTGATCAAATTGACCATGCCCTCTCTCTTTACTTCTTTGCCAATATTGTTGTTATTGGTGATTTTAGTGCTCATCACACTGAATGGCTTGGCTCTAACGCAACTAACCCTGCTTACACTAAAGCCTAAAACTTCTGCATTTCTTAATTTCTGATTTTTAATCCTAGCTTGTGTTCTATTTCTTCTTTTTCTGTTTTAGGTGGTTCTGACCATGTAATGATCTCTTTAAATCATTTAACTTAACTTCCTTTTAG